TTTATAGCCTTGGAAATCATATGGGGCAATCTCCTCTGTCCTATAGGGTCACTATGAGTCAGAGAAGACTCCATGGCAACAGGTGGAGTGGTGGTGCATTGTTACAGGGAGCCCCTGAGTTGCACTACAGTTTGTGATAGGCTACGAACCTAAAGATTGGTGGTTTGAACCCACCCAGCGGCACTGTGGAAGAAATGCGTGGAGATCTACTTCTGTAAAACTTACAGCCAACAAAACCCTATGGAGCAGTTCTACTATGTAACACATGGGGTCTCCATGAGTTTGTTTGTTTGTTTTGCTTTTGGTTGATTTTACAAGAGCTAGTACAAACTCCTCATCCCGCCACTCCAGACCCTGCTTTATCTTTCAGACTTATCTATCTAATCAGCTGGATCTCTGTTGACTTTTCAGCACCCACCGTCTTATCTCCCCAGGCCTGCCTCCTCATGGCCCTTGTTCACATATTTCTCATTCCTGTTTTCATGTTGCAGCCCCCACCTCCACTCAGTTTATTCAAATCCTACATATTCAATTCAGTTCTCATGTTCTCTTCCTTCCCTAGCTATCAAGATGGTCACTGCTTTCCTAGAATAACCAAAGCATCTATTGTGTACTCTTACATTGTGAATCTTGTCTTCCCATCAGGTTACACAATCCTCAAGAATTTCTGTCTATCCTTCACAGCCTCTAGCACAGTCCTAGATGTGAAGAAAGCACATCTTATGGAAGTGTTTAATGGAACCAAACCAGCCCTAACTGCCAGATGATTTTAATATATGTTATTTATTTCTGAGGGCTAATGCTGTAGCCTCTCAGAAATTGTTCCCTTGGACCAAATTAAGAATGTTTGACAAATTTCTAGAGATTTCACTTTATTGTGATTTGGTTTGCTGATAACAAAGTTACAGCAAAGGTTAGCTTGGTTTCAGCTCTTATTTAATGGAACAATATTGCTTATCACCTATGACATGTCCATTTACTGACTTTCCAGTTAAAGACTCTAACCTTTTCTATAATGTGGGATATTTCTTTCCCCTCCTAAAAATGTAATGATTTTTCTTTTATAGAAGAACATGCTTTATCACATTAAATAACTATAAAGGGGTTAATGGCAAAATAATTACATTATAGCTTCCTTAATCTCTTTTCTCTCTTTGCCCCTCAGGGTTTTGCCTCCTCAAATGACAGATCTGCTTTAAATAAGTTTGCTTGGATGCTTGGGAACAGGGAGGGAGAAGATGTCCTTTTTCTTTCGGAAGACAAGGTGGGATTCAATTCAATTCATCAAATATTTATTGAGCTCCTATTGGGCACCTGGCTCTGTGCTAGGCACAAGAGATGAGAAAAGATAAAGGAGCATGAGGCATGGGAAGGAGAAGAAAGGGGAAGAAGAGGCAAGGAAAGGAGTAGAGCTGGATACTCACATAAGAGGGGACGAAAAGAGGAGAAAGGGAAAAGAGAGCCTAAGGTGCATTCTCTGGCCTGATCTCACTTTATAGCACAATGTGGACCTAAAAACCTGAAGCAGTGGTTTGAACTCCAATTCTACGTAAGAGCCATTGCAAAATGTGGGGTAGTTAGGAAGGCCACAATTTGAGTCAAACATTTTACCTGCTCAAGTCTTTAGAATGGGAAGTAAAATATCTTTTTTTTAGAAAAAGGGGATGTCTATGTGTTTACAGTGTATGGAGCCCTGGTGGCACAGTGGTTAAGTGCTCAGCTGTTAACCAAAAGGTCAGCTGTTTGAACCCACCAGCTGCTCTGTGGGAGAAAGCTGTGGCAGTCTGCTTCCGTGGTAGGCTACTAACCTAAAGATTGGCAATGAATGGGTTTGGCTTTGGTTTACGTGTATATATAGGGAGCCCTGGTGGTGCAGTAGTCAAGCACTGGGCTACTAACTAAAAGGTCGTCGGTTCAAACTCACCAGCTGCTCTACAGGAGAAAGATTGGGCAATCTGTTTCCATAAAGATTATAGCCTTGGAAATCCTATGGGGCAGTTCTACTCTCTTCTATAGGATCACTATGAGTTGGAATAAACTCGATGGTGATGGGTTTATATGTATACTGTATATAGGGGCTCTGGTGGCGCAATGGTTAAAATGCTTGGCTGCTAACTGAGGTTTCAAACCCACCAGTGGCTCCGTGAGAGAAAAGACCTGATGATCTGCTCCAGTAAAGATTTAAAAAACAAAACAAAACAAAAAAACCCATTGCCATCGAGTCGATTCTGACTCATAGTGACCTTATAGGACAGAGTAGAACTGTTCCATAGAGTTTCCAAGGTTGTAATCTTTACGGAAGCAGATTGCCACATCTTTCTCCCACAGAGCGGCTGGTGGGTTCGAACTGCCCACCTTTTGGCTAGCAGCTGAACTCTTTAACCACTGTGACACCAAGACCCCTTCCCATAAAGATTCAAAAAAACCCATTGTCATTGAGACGATTCCGACTCATAGCAATCCTATAGGACAGAGTAGAACTGCTCCATAGGGTTCCCAAGGTTGTAATCTTTATGGTAGCAGACCGCCACATCTTTCTCCTGTGGAGCCGTTGGTGGGTTCAAACTGCTGACCTTTCAGTTAGCAACCGAGTACTTAACCACTGAGCTACCAGGGCTCCTTCCATAAAGATTACAGGCTAGGAAACCCAATAGGGCAGTTCTTCTCTGTCCTATAGGGTTACTATGAGTTGGAATCGACTTAATGGCACACAACATACGTGTTTATATGTGTGTATCTACCATCTGTCAGTTTGTCGTACTGTGGTGGCTTGTGTGTTGCTGTGATGCTGGAAGCTATGGCACCAGTATTTCAAGTACCAGCAGGGTCACCCGTGGTGGACAGGTTTCAGTGGAGCTTTCAGACTGGGACAGTGTAGGAAGAAAGGCCTGACAATCTACTTCCAAAACTTAGCCAAAGAAAACCCTATGGATCACAGCAGAGTACTGTCTGACTGGCTTGCTTTGGACATGTAATCAGGAGGGATCCATTGCTAGAGGAGGACATTGTGTTTGGTGAAGTAGAGGGCCAGCAAGGGCAATGGAGACCCTTGGTGAGATGGGTTGGCCCAATAGCCGCAAGGATGGAGTCAAAGTTGCCTGCGATCATAAGTATGGCACAGGACTGGGCAACAATTCATTCTGTTGTACATAAGGCGGCCGTGAGTCAGAATTCACCTGACCCAGCTATCTATATGTGTGCATACACATGGTATATAAAATTATTTTTGAATGATAATAATTAATATTTATTGAGTGTATATTTACTCTATCCTAAGCACTTTGCATGTATCAACTCATTTACACTTCATCACAACTCTGTGAAAACCAAAAACCAAACCTGTTGCAGTCGAGTGGATTCTGACTCATAGTGACCCTATAGGACAGGGCAGAACTGACCTATAGGGTTTCCAAGGAGCGGCTGGTGGGTTCGAACTGCTGACCTTTTGGTTAGCAGCCAAACTCTTACCCACTGTGCCGCCAGGGCTCCACAACCCTCTGAGGTAAGAATAATTACTATGGCCATTTTTCATATGAGGAAACTGAGGCACTTATGAATTAAGTAACTTGACCAAGTTTACACAGCTTGTAAGGGGCAGATCTGGGCTTTGGACCTTGGTCTGGCTGACTCAGTGTTTGCTGTTATTTGAGGTACTGGGTCATGTTTAACCTACTGCTGTATTCACTAGGGCTAATTGCACTACCTTGCACATAATAGATATGTTATATTTTGAACAAATAAATAAATAAATGAAGCATTGAATATAAAGTGCTTCCCATTAAAGCCCAATTACTATTCAGCATAAAAATGAAATGTAATTAAATGTTAGTTCACTTTGCTGTAAAATTTATTCTATTAAAACAATTTTTACTATACACACGTGTGCATCCGTAACGTTTTCTTACTCATTTGGCAGGGCTCATGACCCTTCTAAAAACTAAAAGAATCACTGGATGCAGTCCAGGAACAGGTGAATGAACTAGTGGTATTCTGGCCTCCTTCAGAGTCCTTTAGTTGAAGGAAAAACTTTTTTCTCTGAGGGTTTAGGGTTCAGTAGCCCTGAGTAGGAGCCTCTTAAGAAGCCAGGTTTAGCTTGTCACAATAACAGTACTTTTCTGATACAGTATAAAATATGAGGGAGAATGAATGCCCGAACATCCCTATTGCCCAAAATAGGACTGACTTTTACTATAGGATGCCATTTGAGAAAAAACCATCCCGCGGCTCATCTCCTCATCTTCTGACCCATTATGGATTTGATCCCTGTGGTTCTACCATTAGAAAATCATTCTTTGTACACCAATGTTCCTTGCAACACTATTTACAATAGCCAAAAGGTAGAAACAACTCAAATGTCCATCAACCAAAAAAAAAAACAAAAAAACCCCACAAATCCAATGCTCATAACAGATCAATGGATATACAAAATGTGGTACATAATACAATGGAATATTACTCAACCATAAAGAGAAATGAAGTCCAGGTACATGCTATAACATGGATGAACCTTGAAAACATTATGCTGAGTGAAATAAGTCAGTCACAAAAGGACGAATATTGTATGATTTCACCTACATGAAATGGCAAAAAGAGGCAAATGTACAGAGACCAAAGTTTATTAGTGGTTATCAAGAGCAGGTGGGAGGGGGAAAGAGAGAGTCATTGTTTAGGAAGCAGTGAGATTCTGTTTATGGTGATGGGAAAATTGACAATGATTATGGGTGATGGTTGCACAACACGATTAATGTAATTGAGATCACTAAATTGTACACCTGAAAAATGTTGAATTGGCAAATGTGTTATATATATCTTTGTACCAAAAAAAAGAAAGAAAAAAATCATTCCTTTGGTTTAAAGAGTTAAACTGCTAGCACCCTTGGGACCGGCAACACTGGAATGAATTTCTCTAGGGTTTTAGAAGGCTCACCTATATCCACCAATGGGAAGGCGAGAAATGAGCAGGCGGTGGGCGGGGTCGCGGGGAGGAGGGAACTTGGAGAGAGAAGGCGGCCCACACAGGGTCAAAAGTGCTTTTGAGGAAGGTCTCGAGAGAAGAAACCTAGACGAAGTAGAGAGCGGAGCTCCCGGACACCATTTGCCAGGGGCCGGGAGGCCGGGCTGGCACCGAGGAGGAGCCCTGCGTCCTGCCGCGCCTGCCTCTGGGGCTGGCGTAGACTAGAGGCGCCTGGCGCACCAGGAAGTGACTCTTCCCCCCCCTCGTTTCTTCTCTAGTGGCAGCAAAGCCAGGCCATTTGCTGGCTTTTTCTTTTGCCGCCTCAGGTTTGTAGAAGGATTTATTGGTTATGAAGGTAAGGGGTAGAAATAGCCCGGAAAATCCGATTTAACCTTTGCTGCACAGAAAACTGCTAGCTACGCTCAACTGCCCACGGGGCGGAAAATTGAGAAGGCGGGGG